GGACGGTGAAAATGAAGGCGTCGATAGAGGACTAGGTTGGCTTCTGCCGTTGCTTTGCCTAGGGATGTTGAGGCACATGAGCGCTACGTCAAATATTATTCACGATTGTGACGAGGTGTTCAATTACTGGGAGCCTCTTCACTACTTGCTTTACAAGTCTGGTTTCCAAACTTGGGAATACAGGTTTCACCATCTTCAATTCTTTACTATACAATGATAGCATTGTCAAATATTGCTTTGGAATGATTTTTTCTTAGCTGATGTGTAAGATTTGGTTTAATTTCCCCTAAAATGATCAATTTTTTGCTCCATTAGACAAAGTTGATGCAGTATTAAGTCACTAATCCTTATTTGCAATCTAAATATGTAACTATCCTGGACTTCACTTGTAGCTTCCTCCTTCGGTACATATGCCTAGACATATAGTTTGAGATTTGGCTGCCAACTATTCATAGAGAGGATATCAACTAGTTGAGGTTAAGGTTTAGTCATTGTTGTTGCATGTACATTAGGTCGACGATTGACGAGGGTCCTCTAATTTGGTCATAGACTTTTGTACCAGTGTTGGGGTATGTGTGTGATCTAGAGAATCCGGCTTTATTAGATGAATATTTAGTAGCAAAAACTGGTAGTGGAATAATTTAGGGTCATATAGAGAGGAATGGTTATCAAGGAATCTTATAGCCAACCTGAATTTTGTTTGGGATTGAAGTACAGTTGACTGGTTGATGATATTAGTATGATTCCCTTTTAGTTACTAGAGTTCAGCTTGTTATGATAATACTTTACAAAGGCCGATTACTTGTCTTTGCAGTTCGCAGTTTGCCTTGCGGTCGTATCTGTATATTCTGCTTCACAAACTGGTGGGTTGGCCTGCTGCTTGGTGGTTTGGAGAGGAAAAGGTGAATATTGTTTTTATTTCCACAAAATTACTCATCATTACTCACTGATATGAAAGAATAATAACATCATAATTACTCATTTCAGTTATTTATTCTCTAATTTCTCCATTTTTCAACATGACAGGTGAAAGTATTTTATGCTGTGAGAATTTTTCTTGCAGGGCTGTCTGTCATCAGTGATGCTGCTCTAGTTGTAGCCCTTTCCCGTAAATATGGAAAGCGTCTTGCATCATATGCACTCGCAATGCTATGCTTAGCAAGTGGTTGTTTCTTTGCCAGCACGAGTATGTTTTCTCACTAAACTATGTGTGAGGTTTTTCTTTGTTGGTGGTAAACAATTAATGAAGCACGAGTGTGTTACTTTCAGTAAACTATATTTGAGGTTTTTATTTACCAGTGGTGAGCAATTTAATGATTTTTTAAATTTCAGCTGTATTCTCTGTGCATGCAGACTATGTGATCTAGATATGTGTGGGTGACTCCTTAATGTTGTTTGTCAATACCCTGTGTCAACTTTCTCATAATACTAATGCCTGTTACGTGTCCTTTACGCAGGTTTCCTTCCGAGTTCATTCTCAATGTATGCCATGTCTCTTTCTTCAGCACTATTTCTATTTAATAAGCCTGCCATGGCAGTTTCTGTTGCTGCCACTGGAGTGATTCTGGGCTGGCCGTTTTCGATCCTTGCTTTTCTTCCACTGACAATTTACTCACTGGTTAAAAGCTTCAAACCTGTGTTTCTTACAGGTGTTGTCACTTCTATCGTCCTTATGGTAAGTTTGATCATATCATATTAAGTTTTCTGCTGTGTTGAGTTTTCATGCATCAAGCTTAAAATTTGGGAAGTTCCCTTTTAGGGGAACAAAAAGTAAGTATTGAATTTCCATTGTATAGAGTTATTCATACTTACCGTAATGCAAAGAGATCATCTACCAAATGTTCATTTTGCTAAAATTCGATATGCAAGTCCGTCGTCCTATATCGAAATTTCAAATCACTTAACGTAATAGGCTTTATCTGTTTTAGTGCTGCTCACATGCTTTTTTCCTATCTGGAACACCTGATGACTTGACTTGGTGTACAAATTGTTCTAGGTACTCTCAGTTCTTGTTGACTACGACTACTATAAGAAGTGGACATCCTCTGTTATCAACTTGCTGGTGTACAATGTTTTAGGGGGTGGTGAAAGTCATCTCTATGGTACTGAAGGGGCATCATTTTATTTGAGGAATGGCTTTAACAATTTCAACCTCTGTTTTGTGTTTGCTCTACTGTTCTTAGCAATACTACCCGTTGCTAAGAAGAAGTATGCTCCTGAGTTGCTCATTGTTGTTTCACCTGTCTATCTCTGGATCGCCTTTATGTCCTTACAGCCACACAAAGAAGAAAGGTTAATCCTCTTTCAGTTTTTCTTCTTGTCACGACAATATATAGATATCATATATATGTCTACTTAAATATTATGCTGAAAGTCCTGATTTTCTGAGCTCAACCCAAAAAGACCTTTATAGTGGCTCGTCTATGACAAGTGTGCTAGCTGGAAAGATATTTGGTCAACATGCTCTACTAAAATCCTTATTTAGTAACAGTGAAGCTGTAGTTGTCTTCTTCAGATATCTTTTTTTGCAGTGCTAAACTGAAACTCGATCCCATCTGGAATTTTTATGTCTCTCCTAGTTGTCTGGAATCCACCTATTATCTTTTTATTTTTGACCAGAAATGATAATTGCGTGGAAGATGCTAGTGTCATTGCTAAAATAACTTAGACTCATGACAGGACTCCTTGGTCAAAGTCATTTCTGTAGCCAAGAGACATGAGCTATGTTCTACTGCATCTGAGATTGAAAGTAACATGAATTACAAATAAAATCTGATGTAGCAACTCATTGTTTACTGCCTGTGCAGATTTCTGTACCCAATATATCCACTTATCTGTGTTGCTGCTTCTGCTGTGATTGAGAGCTTTCCTGATCTGTTCAGGGATAAGTACAATCCCAACGGTACATCCACTCTAGTTAAGGTAGTTCCCTATGTCCAAAGAGAACTTGCCAAGCTTCAATAATAGTGCCTATAGTTTTCACTTGCTTTGCTTTTGCAGATAGCGAAAATTCTCAGACCTCTAGCTCTTGGTTTGATTCTTTGTGTCTCCCATGCTCGGACATTTTCACTTATTAATGGTTATTCAGCTCCTATTGAGATATACAAGCATTTGGACTACCATGATGACGCTGGACCAGGTGAGGATTAGCCTGTTTAATGGCAAGTTGATTATATGCTTGTTAAATGTTCATCTTCAGTACTTTTAGCTTTGATGAATGGTGTATCAATCTTGATGCATGAATTAGTCTTTCTTCATAGGATGACATTCATTGTATGATCTCGGCATTAAGATACTTGTCGGATTAAAAGGACCATATAATTTTTTATTGGAACTTTAGTTTTGTTGTAAAGAGTAATTTTATCCAGTAACTTTTGCCAATACTGGATAACCGAGAAGGTGAAACGATTTCTCTTGTAAATCTGATTTTTTGGAGCCGAAGATGTGATTTTATTGCATAGGGTTGAAACTTGAAAGTGAAAATACCTGATTTAATTATTTGAACCTAGATAGACATGGGAATAAATAGGTGTCAGGTCGAGATATGAGACGTTGATTTGCTGTTACCATGTGGTTCTCCATTTATCTGGTCTTTAGATTAACGCCCTATAGTATGAGCATTTGTTGTTTTGGTTCCATTATCACAAAAAAAATATGAGCATTTGTCAAATGTGAGCAAAAAGTTTCCTCGGGACATCCGTATGTGATTTTCCCCCCATTTTACAGCTACTGCTATGTTTCTTGCTTCTCCATTTATTCTGTTCTTGCTAGATGGGTGCATTTCTGGTGCTTTGTTTAGCATATGAAGCTGGATGTAACATCATCTTTTCATGTTCTGAAAGTTGCATGCAGTATCCATTTCCCCATGTATATTTTGAACTTCCCCATGTTGGTTCAGGTTCTGTCCTTTGCGTTGGTAGTGAGTGGCACCGGTTCCCTTCTTCCTTCTTCATTCCTGATTATGTGAGCCAAGTTCGATGGCTGGATGATGGATTCACAGGCCTTCTCCCAATCCCGTTCAATTCTAGCTTGGGTGGGACCTCGGCGGCACCATCTTACTTCAATAATAAGAACAAGGCATCAGAGAGGCAATATGTAAGCAGACTCTCCTGTAATGTTTAACCAGAAAGAGTCTCATTTTTTTTTAAGTGCGCAATGTATTCAACTATGAGATGACACTCAGCTTCTTTTGCTAATAATGTTATAGCTTAAGGATCCTGAGCAATGCACATTGCTGATAGAGCTGCAACTTCAACGTCCTTATCCTACGCGAGGGAGTGACATGTCTACATGGGAGGTACATGGCTCATGATCATAAGCTCATCCCTCTCTCCCTCCCTCTGCTTCATGTTATTAACTTGTAAGAGTTTTGCGTACAGATTGTTGCAGCACTTCCATACCTGGACAGGGAACTATCACCTCCATTGCATCGATCATTCTTTATTCCAAATCAATGGCAGCAGAAGAATGTCTTTGGCCAGTACAGATTACTCAGGAGAATACAAAAGTGATCGCAGATGTACACGCTGAATTTTCTGTTGTCCAGCAGCTTTTAACTCTCTCGGTATAGTACTACGCTAATGTCGACTAGTTTAGTTTTTGTAGTCTGAAACTGCCTACACTTTCGAGGGTAGCAAGTTGAATTAAGTTAAGTTATTGGATCTTCCATTAATTTTGGAAGTCAGATTTTGCATTACATTTTTGTTGGTGTAGATTACACAGATGGGTGTTTAAATTTTGATTAGGAAGCAAATAGTCGAAGTCTCTTATTGGCATTGTTGAAAATGTATCAGTTTAATTTGGTTCCAGTTACTATATATGCTCAAAGTTGTAAAAAGTTAAGTGAACATGTGTCCTTCGTAGCATATACAAATCAATTCAAGTGTATCTCACCTAAATTGCCGTGTAGTAGGGTAGAATGGAAACAAATCTTACCCCTATCTGGTAAAAGTGGAGAAGTTGTTTCCGGTAAAAGTGGAGAAGTTGTTTCCGAAAGACTCTTGGGCAAATCAAAGTAGTTATGAATTACTATGTTTAGTGACAATTAAGCTGATTATAGAAATCGACAAATGAGCCTTGTCTAAAGCTGCAAAATTTGGCTATTGCGAAATGCAATGAATAATCTCACAGTTTCAACATCCCCAGCTATTCTTCAAGCTTGCTCTTCGATCTTTACTTATAAGTCCTACACGAGTAAACCCGGAAGTTATACACATTCTTTTCCAGACCTCACCTGGTGGGATTACACGGGGAATGTTGTTGTTGTCGTCCTTATGACGTTGGCACCGAGACCTTGAAGTTTCATTTCCAAATTTTCATAACCCCTATCAACATGGGAGATTCCACTGATTTCAGTAATTCCTTCAGCAGCCAGACCAGCCAAAACCAATGACATTCCCCCACGCAAATCAGTTGCGTTGACCTGAGAACCGCGGAGTGGACTAGCAGAAGATACATAACAACATCAATACGCGATATAGTTTGTATAGAACATGAGGAAATCAAGCAAGAACTATAAACGTACCTTGCCTTTCCCTTCCCATAAACAGTTGCTCTGCTTCCAGAGACCTGAATATTAGCTCCAAATTTCTGCAGCTCAGTTACTGCACAAAAGAAGATAATGAAACTTTTGAAAGAAAAATCGTTACAATTATCTGTCGAAAAAATAGCAAACGGTTCTGTAGGCATTCTGACCAGATATTCTTTAGCAATTGTGTGAGACTTAAGTTGATGTCGACTAATTAAAAAATTATAGTAATCCATATTTGTAGAATAACTTCTATGTGGATAAATGTCAAACACAAGCTATGTAGGAGATTTTGGAAAGAAACTAGACTGTAGACGAACAACCAAAAGTCATCACATACCATGACTCATACGATTTTCAAAGACAGATTCCTCAATGACGCTGACACCCTTGCACGTTGATAGCAACGCCATTGTCAGTGGCTGGAGATCTGTTGGAAATCCTGGAAATGGATTTGTTTTGATATTGAACCCCCGCAAATCATCTCCAATCATCCGAGGTACTGCTGAAAGCTGATCTCGTGAACCACAATAACCATAAGAACTCAGTGCACGAAATGGAAGAAAAGCAAGAGATTAGCTACATTTAGTATACCACCAAAGTGTCATCACTGAGCTGTAATATTTTGCAACCAGCCCCTGAAAGCTTGTCTAGTAAACAAGTTAAATTGCTGTGGGGCACAGGTGAAATTGAGATACACGATCGAGTAATTGCAGCAGCCAACATGTAGGTGCCGACTTCAATCCTGTCTGGCATTATGCTATACTCGCAACCATACAACTTTCTCCTTCCAGTAATATAGAGTGTGTCTGTTCCTGCTCCTTCCACAACTGCTCCGCAATTTGTTAGAAAGCCAGCAAGGTCAATAATCTCTGGTTCCTATGTGGTACATATTGAGGGTTAGTACAAAAAGATTGTAGATTTATCAAATAGGCACTTCAAGGAAATATCATAGAAGTTGAAAAGACAATACACTTTCATACTTGAGCTGCATTTGAGATTACAGTTTTTCCCTCAGCCATACACGCCGCCATCATAAGAGTTTCTGTAGCACCCACACTGGGGTAGCCAAGTCGGAAGCTTGCACCAGTCAAACCTTTACCATTTGATACATGTGCTTGCACTTTTCCATCCCTATGTGGACTCAAAAAGTTAGTCACTACTTATTTTATGAACTCACTCACTTGCTATCAGTACCGCCTCAGCCAAAATTGGAGGCAATGGAGATAATACCATGTCAAAAAAGGTTAACGGGAGATCCTCGTTGAGTTTTGTAATCGTCCTCAAGGGGGATAGTACAGTTTCAAATAATAGTGTCACGGGTTCCAATCTCAGTCCCTAGTTGGACCTTTCTACTGTGGTAACTAGTAATCATATATATAACTAAAAGTGTGTCTAATAGCTACAACTTTTAGACGAGATATTCACAAAATTCACCTACCCCTGTTAGTAACAACAAAACAACAACATAGCCAGTGTAATCCTACAAGTGTGGTCTGGGAAGGATAGAGTGTACACCGACCTTACCCCTACCTCGTAAAGATAGAGAGTTTCCAATAGACCCTCAGCTTAAAATAAAACATTTCAAGCAACTTGAAAAAAGGGACTACTGAAATGAGAAAAGTAACAACAACAAAATGATGTAAAATGGGAGACGCACACAACATGGAGGAAAAAATAGTAATGACTACAAAATAATGCAATAACCGAAGCACAAAAAATAGAGGAGATAATCGAACCCGAAGAACAAAACTACGAGAGTAGTACTACTATCGATAATCTTATCCCGCAGAAAAGCAAGAGAACTTTCAACTAGCAAATTAACCTTCTAACCTACTCCCCAGCCTCCAAACCTCATATCTAAGGTCAAGTCCTCGGTAAACTCAAGATGCATCATTTCATGTCTAATCACTTTCCCCCACTGCTTCTTCGGCTTGCCCCTGTCACTCCTAATGCTCGTCATTGTCAACCTCTCACACCACCTCACTGAGACATCTACAGTCTACTTTTAGTTAGTATGCGGAAAAGGAATAGAAATTCACTCGAATGATGTTCACTGACCTCAACTCAACCGTAGCACCAAGAGCACGTAGACCATGAATGTAAAAATCAATGGGTCGGGCCCCAATGTCACACCCACCGGGTAACCCGACAGTAGCCTCACCAAATTTAGCCAGTAATGGCCCTATCACGAAAAACCCACCTCTAAGTTTCCCAATATAACTCAAATCAGGCTCTACAGACACAATTCCATCGGTGTTAACCACCAAATCACCACCACAACTCATAACTTGAGCACCCAAAGACTCCAAGATTGAAGCCATTGTTCTAGTATCTGATAAACAGGGTACATTTTTAAGGTTTGAAGATCCAGAACAGCAAAGGGTTGCAGCAAGAATAGGTAAAGCTGAGTTCTTGGAGCCACTAACAGTGACATGACCAGAGAGTGTAGACCCACCATTTACAACAAGTTTAGGGTCTAAAGGTGGAAGAACTTGGGGAACATTGAACTTTGAAGTCATTGATGAACAGAAACAAAATGTACCCATTGAACTAAAACAGAAAAAGAGAAAATCTGGGATATTGAGGAGTTGAAGTTTGAAGAGAATGCCTATGAATTATTGTCATTGTACATTATCTTCAGGTTTTCATGTTACTTCCATGTGATCAGTGCATTATTGCATTCATGTAGGGTCCTTTGTTAACCAATAATTTGGTAACTATTCATGTACTAATTTCTACATAAGTTACTCAAAAATACAAAATTAACGCAAAGTTCCTTTTTTGCAATTTAGAAATCCGTATAACTAATACCTGTACAAGTTATGAGAAAATTTGTGTATTATCTGATGCGGGTTTAACCATCTAACTTAGGAACTTAGCAGCGTTAGTTAAATAACTAACTCTGCATTTTGAGACTAGAGTTAACGCATATAAATCTTTCCGAATATCATGAATATTCTTCGTCGTGAACTAGTTAATCATAATACATGGAAACTACCTAGGTAGTTTCCTTTTGTACATATATATCAAGTAACACTCCCCTCAAGCTATGAGAGGTGAAGATATACACATTCCTAGCTAGCCTCTCAAGTGCTCATGATAGATCTTTTCGAGCAAAAATTGTTGATTGATCACTCTTTAAGTACGGAAATTTCCTATTCGTCTTTGATAGCTTCTTCGACGTGCCTCTCTACATCTCCTAATGCTCATCATTGTCAACCTCTCACGCCTCCTCACCGAGACATCTACATTTCTCTACCTCTCCTAATATCCCATCATTGTCAACCTCTCACGCCTCCTCACCGAGACATCTACATTTCTCTACCTCTCCTAATATCCCATCATTGTCAACCTCTCACGCCTCCTCACCGTGTCATCTACATTTCTCCTTTTAGTTAGTAAATGAAAAATATTAGAAAAGTCACTAACCTCAACTCAACTGTTGCACCAAGAGCACGAAGACCATGAATATAAAGATCAACGGGTCGGGCCCCAATGTCACATCCACCGGGTAACCCAACAATAGCTTCACCAAATCTAGCCAGTAATGGCCCTAATACAAAAAACCCACCTCTGATTTTTCCAATATCACTCAAATCAGGCTCTACAGACACCATCCCATCTGTATTAACCACAATATCTCCATCAAAACTCGTAACCCGAGCACCCAAAGACTTCAAAATTGAAGCCATTGTTGAAGTATCAGACAAACAGGGTACATTTTTAAGCTTCGAAGATCCAGAACAGCAAATGGTTGCTGCTAGAATAGGTAAAGCTGAGTTCTTGGACCCATTAATAGTGACATGTCCAGAGAGTGTAGACCCACCATTAATAACAAGTTTTGGATCTGGAATGTGAGTTGTAGGAGGAGAAATGAAGGGTTTTGGGTATTGGGGAAAGTAAAGTTCAGTTCTTGGAGGAGATACGAGATATTGGGGAGGATTGAACTTTGAAGCCATTGATGAACAGAATCAATATTGCAGAGTTTGAAGAGAACGGCTAGCAACAAAGTGTATCTTTTAGTTGGCGGAAAAGTGTATCTCGTGTATATATTTGTGGTATAACAAATGATACATATTTATCATTTTCATTTAACAAAAAAAGTGTTAAAAGAAAAACTATTTTTACAAAAATGTCACCTGGTTTTAGAAAATTACTTCACCCATCTTCAATTTTAAAAATGTGTTTCACCCAATATAATTTTGTTTGGTGAAATGTATTAGGGAAGTGATTAAATGAGACAGGATGTAATTTCAATAAATATTATTTTGAATCAAGATAGAAGGTGAATAGATAGTATAGTGTTCTCCTATTTTACGACGGGTTTAGATTGGGTGGTGTTTATTTAAAACTTTATGTCTCTATTTTTATTGTCTACTTTAAAAGTGGCACACATATTAAGCAACAATAATCATCATATGTTAGTTATAATTTTACCGTTAAATAAAAAGATTATGCAACTCCCTAAGTATAATAAATGTATTTTCTGGTTTCCAAAAGCATGTATTACAAGTTAGTAGTACTAGAATTTTTTTTAGAATTAAATAAGTGCATATTAGGAAAAAATTGTTGTTCTTTCTTGATTTATTAAAATAGACAAGTAAACAAGAACAAATATAAAAGGAAATATGAACAAGTAAAGTAATATATATTAGTCTTATTCTTGTAGTGTCTTGTTTTTTATTTATATCATCATATGTTGTTTATTGTTTTATTATAAATTGATATATTTTTTTGCCCTCGCCTTTTTTGCTTACCTATTTTGATTTGTTTTACTCGATATTACACCCCTCCGAAAATAACCTTTCTATCTTTGCGAGATAATCGCACTCAATCTTTCCAATACCATACTTATAAAATTTTACTCAATATATAAAATAATCCAAAAAACATATGAGTTTACGAAAACCTAATCACTCTATATTCGTATTAAGAAAGAAATTCATAAACTCGGACCCATCTATGCACAAAAGTAAGATGGACGCCCTTGTAAAGCAAATTAGAGTACATAATTTTTTCCAATTTATCAGTATTTTACAACTTTTTCCACAACCACAAAAAATAAAAAATGTAAAACAAAAAGAACGGGTCTTTTGTTTCATTAATTCCATAACGAAAATAGAAACAGAACGACAAAACCAAAAATAACGCTCAACCATTATTACCTACAAGTCATTTTTTTTTATTATAAATAACACATTTCATTTTATTAGAAAATGCAGTCACACATCAGAGAAAGGAGAATAAATAAACAAACAAAAATAAAAATCAGAAATGGCAAAAGCTATCATCCTCCTCTCCACCCTTTGCGTTTTGGCTGTCGCCAATTTCGCGGTTGCCGACGTTGAAACGTTCAACGTCGAAGGCAAAGTCTTTTGTGATACCTGCCGTCTTGGTTTCGTCACCTCCCTCAGCAATACCCTTGAAGGTATAGTTATCTAACTTTTTTCATATTTTGATCATACTTATCATTATTCTACTACTAATTAATTTCATTACTCCCTCTGTTTTCATATTTTTGACAATAGGTGCCACGGTGCGTATGACGTGCAAGGACATGGAGACACACAACGAGACATTTACAACTGAAGGCAAAACGGATGGTATTGGCAAATATACCTTGAAGGTTGAAGGTGACCATGAGAATGATATCTGTGAGGTTACATTGGTGAACAGCCCAAAAGATGATTGCAAAGAAGTTGTTCCAGATATGGTTAATAACAGAGTTATTTGCAGTAAAAATGTAGGGATGCACAATGCTGTTCGTTTTGTGAACCCATTGTTCTATCAAAAGGACAAACCAATCGATGGTTGCGCAAAACTTGTTGAGGAGATGGAGCTTGTTGATCTATTGATTCTTGAAAATGATAAAGAAGAGAATTAAGAGAGAACATATATAGAGAGAGAGAGCGCTTTTGCATCATTCATCATTTATATATTAAGAAGAATATTAAATCTGTTATAATTTCTCCTTTGATGTGTAACTCAACATGGAAAAATTAAAAAAATTTCCATGATTTTCTAATGAGAAGATCAATAATAGCTTCTTAGAAATTTTTTGTGTTTGATCATCAAATCATTATCTATCTTTTTTTATATATATATACATCAAGACTAAACGGTCATTAAAAAGTCTTCCTTAATGATAGTTTTGTTATTTCTACGCTCTATAGCCATCCATCGAAATAATACTTTGATAAATACTTTTCTTTTTGTATGATAATTGATATGCACATATACAAAATAGTGTATATTTTTTATTAAAAAAATGTATGAAATATATTCGAACTTTGATCGAATCGATGTAATGATATCAAACTTTGAAAAGGACATTTTACCCCTGCACTATTCAATAATGTATTTTAAGGGTATATATGTGCCCACGTGGGCATAAAAAATATTATATAATTATAAATAGTATTGCGTCCACGTGGGCACATACAGTGGCGGAGCTAGAATTTTCAATAAGAGGATTTAAAATTCGTAGAAATAGACACATGAAGTAGTTAAAGAGCGTTCAATATCTACTATATATACATAAAAAATTAATTCAATTACCATGTATACATAATATAATTTTTTGCCGAATGAAGTTCGGATGAACCCCCTTACTACAAGGTGGCTCCGCCCCTAGGCACACATATATCTTTAAATATACTACTAAATAGTGCAAAAGGATAAAAGGTGTTTCATAAATTTTGGTATCATAACAATAATTTCGGCCAAAATTGAAATATTTTTAAGAACTTTTTCCTTTTTTTTTAATGTTTAACTAGTGCATGTAATTTTTTGGGGCGATTTTTTCGAAGATCTTTTTCATATCGAGAATTGAACTCGAACCCCTCCATACCTGAACTCGTACTCCCCTCCCCTTTCCCCGACTAGTTTGTTTCTGTATATACTTATCATGTCATGGTTATAAAGTTGATTTCTCCGATAATTACTCAATAAATTAATAATTGAGTGGTTATATGATAAATCACGATCATGCGAAATTAAGCCTTTTTGCACAAATGTAGGTTTCTTTAACGTTGTTCCTCAATTGGATTAATTCTTGTGTCAATAAATTCTCTTTCGTTGAAGTTCCGCACACAAAGTAGCATATTGAGAAACATATGGAAAGAACTAAAGTTCATATATATGAGAAAAATCATTAGAATTACCATAAACGATAGATTTTCAAAAGATCAAATTTTTAAAAGTGTTTGAGATTTTTGTGCTCTAGTAAAAACTTAAATGTTAGAAAGTATCATATTAAAATCCTAGATCCAAGATACTAGCCTCGTTTATTTTCATTAAGATCACGATATTTGAATATAAATATATATTTGAATAATTAATTTTTTGATTTAACAAAAAAGAATAACTAAAATTTTATCTATAAATCTGAACACTTTTGTTTTTCTAACGTTTGAAGAACCATAATTCATTTATTTCTAAGCATAATAAATATGCACTTAAAATAAAAATTATTAAATATTAGCAAAAATATATGATTTTAATAAAATAAAATCACCATTTGATTAAAAAAAATTAAAACATTTATGTTGATTATGATGATGGAGTAGTTTCTAGTAGTGGTGGCAGTAATAATCGGTGTTAGTGACTATGAACTAATAATAGTGGCGGTAATAATTGTAATGCGGGATGGTGGTGCTACATTCAGTGGCGGATTCAGGATTTAAAAAAAGAAATACTACTGGCGATTCGAACCCTCATCAGTGGCTTCGTGCGCCTCTGAAGTTTAAACCAGTTCACCCACGGCTGATTTTGTCCTATGGGTGCTCGTTTAAATTATAATAACATATGTATCATATTTTCTATATATATACAAAAAAATTCGAAAATCAATGGGTGCTTGAGCACCCGCATCTGGCTTACTGGATCCGCCCTTACATTAGTTACTGACGTGATATTAATAATTAATAGTAATTATGATGGTGAAGCTAATTGATATTATTAATAACGACGTTGATAATCGTGACCATAAAATCAATGCTAATGGTAATGGTGGATGTTTGTTTATGTAATAAGAAAATTGGATGTAATAGTGATGGTAAATGTGTGAAGATAATGAATGGGTCAAAGAACTATCATTTGAGGTATTACATAATTATGGTTCAATTCAATATATTTTATCTTTAGCGTAGCTTTCTAGTATTATTTATTGTTTATTTTGTTTTAAGACGAATAACTCTTAACATATATGTAAGAAAATGTTAATTCGCTGTATAATCAATGGTTTTTTTGTAATTATCGTACACATCTCTATTTAATCATTTATATAAGCAAATTTCAATTAGTATTATTGAATGTTATCAAGTTGAAATAAATAATAATAACATAATTCGTATAATTTATAAATATGATTTAAAAAGGATAAAATGTATATGAATATCATCTTTATTTTATCAAATAGAGAGGCTGTTTTTGAAAAATTTAGACTCAAAAAAGTAAACAAAAAATAGTTACGAAGATATAAGTTTGTAAAAAATATAGGTACTACTTAAATTAAAATACTTTCTTTGTCTCAGTGACAATCTTTGAATTTTGAGATTCAAACTAATTTATTTTTTTATATATTTTGAATTGTTAATTATTGTGACTTATAATACTTTTAACGTACTTTATAAATATGTAAATTTTATTTCAAAAAAATTAAAAATTTCATAAACATATTACCGATCAAATTTAAATTATTTAAACCTCGATAAATGGAAAGTGCTATACAAAGTGCATGGTTTACGTTTTTTTTAATTGGCACCACTCCCCCACCATTACGTAAAAATTATAAAATACACCCCTAAAGATTCTGAACCAATCCTTTTCACCACATATATTTTAGTGATAGTGTGAGAAAGAGTTGTCAAATTCTCACAAAACTATTCTCCACTTGCTCCCTTTTCTCTCTCTAGAAAAGAAGAACCCTTAGCGTAAACTCTGCGAACCCCAAAAAGGCTTTCAATTCAATGGCTAACAGCAATCTTCCTCGAAGAATTATCAAGGTTTGCTCTTCCTTCATGTTGATCTTCTTATTTTTCACTCGATCCATATCGATTTCATACATAAAACTTTGATTTTTTAATCCATTGATGGTTTTGATCACTTCATTCGGTAGGTTTTATGATGATCTAACTTCGGTGTAGCTGATAATTTATTATTTTTGATCTTACAGGAAACTCAACGTCTTCTCAGCGAACCAGGTAAATTTTCTGGAATTTTTGTTTTGAATTGTTCGTTTTCGTATAGCCGTGTGGAATTTTGAGCTTCGTTTATGAGTTTTGAATGCTCTGGGATGTAATTTGTATTGTTGATTTCAGTATGCATGAGTGTTTTTTTTTAAAATTGAAGTTTACAGTAAGTGTTGATGTATATTAGTTTATGGTGGAAGTAAAGGTTTAAGAGGATCTAATGTTGATTTAACTGGGATGCAGCGCCTGGGATAAGTGCGTCGCCTTCGGAAGACAATATGCGATACTTTAATGTCATGATACTTGGTCCAACACAGTCTCCTTATGAAGGTAATCAATGAGCTCAATTATAAGATTTGAGTAAGCAGGGAAATATGCTTGCAGCTTTTACTTGTTTTTGTTGATCATCATATTGTTTGGTGCGAATTGACTCCTTTGTATTGACTGGTGATTGGCTAAAGTTTGTCTTTGTTGCTAGTTTTTCTTTTGTTCTAGCATTTTACTTGTGCATTAACTGGCCCAAGTTACTCTCCTTTTCCCTCTAATTTGTTCTATTCTCATTCTTTATATAGTTTTGGCACTTATCTACCTTTTCAGTTGCTGCATACTAAATGAAACAATCATGAAAACCGGCTAATTTTCTGAACTAATTAATCCTGCAGAATATGAAGTTAACTTGACTAGTTTATAGCAGTACTGATGGTGTGTTGGAACTGCATTTGGAAAATTTTAAGTAGTTACATATACTTATATTTGCAATTCCCGGAGTTTGGTTATATGAGCATGACCGTGTGCATGTTTGTTATAAATGTCTTAATGTTTGTTTGAATCCTCAGAAGCATAGCAGAAAGCTGTCTGCTCTTACTTTAAAATGTTGAGTATTGTTGTCTAGTAGAAAATGTTGCTATAATAGCTAGCATTCAGCTTCAAGACACCCATCAACTACCTTCTAATGTTATGCGATAATGCATGTGTGCATTCTTTTCTTTTAGCTCTTCTGATTTTCCTTCATTTTGTTGAATAATGATTTAGAGGATACCGCTACAGGTGCATTTTGAATATTATTTGTTTTGACCGCCGCACACTTTTTCCCCTCATTTTCTCCTTTTACCTAATCTCCATGCCTTCTTTGTGTAGGAGGTGTCTTCAAGCTCGAACTATTTTTACCTGAAGAGTACCCAATGGCTGCTCCTAAGGTATGTACACACATTAAGGACAATTTTTTGGGCAATGGCTGTTTTAACAAAGTTCAGTTGATGTTCTTGATTTTTGGTTCTTGAAATGGTATCTCAGAGCTTTGGAATATTTGTTTTTGTCTGATATTTTCTGAAAGCAAATATCAAGATACAGTTTTAAAATTTCTTGCAATCGACACGGTTGTTGTAGGTGTTGCATATGCATTTTTCCCTGTTTTGTTTTCCCTTTTCTAGCTATGTTTGGCTCTTTTTAATTATTTGTTGATATTGCTTTCTCTCTCCTGGTGGAGTGTTATATCTCAATTTGAATCTGCCTTTTCACTCTTAGCCAGATGTCTATGTCTTTATGTCCGGCAATATGTTGCGACATTTTAACTTTGTGATGTATCATTCTGGATTCGAAACTTTTCAGATGTTAAAACTTTGCTGCTTTCTTTAACACTGTTACTATCTGTTTTTTTGGTCAACGAGTAACATTTTCATTCAACAAAAATTATTTATACAAATCAGCAAGCTCTTTTTGGACTTAAAGCTAGATCTCACAGAACCTTGCTATACAATTTAGCTAATTCAGGTAGTAACCTATCAACTGTGTAAAAGAAAACATTTAACTAGGATATCCTATTAGCTGCTCCAGATGAGGCTTCTACCTGTGGTGTCTTTGGCCTTCAATGTGCACCTGTATGGCAATCTCCTTTAGTCCCCTTGCTGTGCTCGCCCTTGTGGTTGTAAATCTTCTTTTGTTTCTTTCAGTCCAGATGTTGTAAATGGTTGCTGCAAAACAGAATCCCAAAATTCCAGTTCTTGGTCTACTATTCTTGATCCTATCTATCATCCATTTGACTTCCCAATCCCAGCTGCCTAGTTGTCTGTGATAACCTAACCAGTTTAGTGTTGCTGTCCATATATAAGAAGAATAAGGATAGCTCTAATAGAACAGGTGATCGAAATTCTTTATTTCAGCAATCTGTCCACAGTTGATAGTTTCCTCTGTAATGCCATCCACAAAATGAATTGATGCCTTGGCAACAGACCTTTGACCTGTACCAAATGTTTCCATTCAACTGGAGGGTATTGAGGTCTAAGTATCACATAGTTGTTCTTGATGCTGGATTCAGGGTTCTTCCTTCCATCAATTTTCCAGGACATATTAGTATACTATGCTCTTGCATCATATAACTTTCTTATAATCTAACATGCTTGCTTTGGGGTGGTCATAGTAGATAGGTCCTTATTCTTGATGTATAAAGTATGTACCCACACTATCCACAGCTTGTCCTTCTTCTGTCCTAGTGCCATAACAGTTTAGATAGAGCTGCCTTGTTCTATATATGCCCATCAATCACACTCAGTCCCCCCTGCTGCCTTTGGCATACAAACTTTTTTCCCATGCTACCAGTGCTTTCTTTGAACAATTGTCGCTACCAGTCTGGAGCAAGGTTCTGCACACAGTTGTCACCATTTTTGTTATCTTCTTTGGCAATAAAAAGATTTGTGCCCAATAAGTCTGCATCTTAAATAGGACACTCTTTATGAGTTGAAGTTTGCCACTATAAGTAAGGAATTTTGATGTCCAGCATTTCACCCTAGCTATCATTCTCTCAACTAGGGGTAAATACTGATGTACTAATAATATCTGTTATTTACTGCTGCCTAAGTGAATATGTTAGGTTAAATGTTTATGCAGTTTGTACTTTTTTCTTGACAAGGAAAAGAAGTTAAAAATCTATGCAGTTTGTATTGCAATTTGATCATGATATTTGTTAATAGATGCTCAAACCTGATGTGAGATGCATTGACAAAGAAGCTCATGACAGTTGAAAAACTAAGAGACAAGTGTATTAATCCTGTCATGTTTCACAACTTTGTACATGATAAGGTTGCTTTTCTAGGAGTACTGGTTAGATGACTGTTTCTCCCACATTCTGCTTCCATTTATATGCAGTGTAGGGTTGTGAAAATATAGTACACTCGGGCTACCTAGATATTGGTTTTACTGGAACTATGAGTAGTGCTGGAATAAAAGAATTACTTAAAGTCTGTTACTCTGTGGAAGTGACAATGTGCAAATACCATTGGAACTTCATCTAGTAATTTGATTTAAACCCAACTATATAAATGATCAATTTGTTTTGTATTATTGACTTTTTTGAGAAAGGTAACATTCTTTTTGTATTATTGACTAGTTGGAGCAGGACTCTGATTCGATTTTTCTTCTGGAAAATGATTTGATTGTCCATGATCAGGATATCAGCTATTGAAGGAAATGAAGATTAGGATAATTGTAGCTCTTGTTCTCATTGACTATTATTTTTTTTTGCTGAACTGCTCTTTATGGTTGACATCTTTTAATTCTCTGTCTTGTCTAATCTCAAATTTATATCTCTCTTTCATGGTTAAGGTTTACTCAGACCGCTTTTGGCTACAGTTGTTTGTACCGTTGGTTTCAATTGAACTGATAAGTGAGATGCTTGTTTATGAACTTTGCAAACCCTATTTCATTTGGCTTACATGTATTGGCATAGCCTCTGTTACTTTTCTTGGAAACTAGGTTGCAGTTATGGTGCAGCTTTGTTTCAGTAATTAAACAGAATTATGATGAGATTTATTATTTGGGAGTACATTTTCCTACCAAAAGATTTAGAATCCTAGGGCTGAGATGGATAGGACTAAGAAAACCCGGGTTGTGAGAAGAACTGTTTGTCAAACTTGGATTTGCTGCTGTAATTCTATGTTTTTTTTTAGAGAATTCTATCAAATAATTCTCAAAAAAAAAATCTCTGTTATTCTTTTTTTTTTATAGATAATTCTATCAAATATGAACTTACGACAGTGATTCATATGGACATGTGCTGTGTGAGGGTTTCTTGGATTTATTATGTTTAGTTGGTATTCAGACTTACAATCCATTTGTATAATTGAATATAAAGGATGTCATGACCTTAATTGTGCCATGGACAGTCCTTAAAATGCTAGGGTTCCCTAGTTTTTTTTTGTAGATGCCTGAAGATACTAAATCTGGATGTTAGATAAAAATATTTCCACTTTTCCTGGGTGCTTTTCATGGTACGTTTTTAGATGTAGTACCTGGTGTTGCTAGCTTTTGCTGGAAGCTTACTTTTCAAATGATTCTGGACTTCTTAAACATGACATGTACCCTTCATCTTAATAATTGTAGATTATATATGCTTGTGCACACTTTTATTTTCTGTACGCATTTAACATGTTGTAAAGTTTTGCTATGCGTATAGTGTCTATTAGTCATTGATCAATTTGCATCCCAACAGGTTCGATTCCTCACCAAAATCTACCATCCGAACATCGATAAGGTCTGTTGTCCTCGTCAAGTTTTTCATATCCATACATATAGATACAAGCCATAAAATACCTTGCTTATTTATGCCTTTTGATGTGAAGCTTGGAAGGATATGCCTTGATATTCTCAAAGACAAATGGAGTCCTGCTCTTCAGATCCGTACTGTACTTTTGAGGTATTAATAATTTATCATGCTTTGAAATATGTTTCTCATCTCTGTGTACATCAAAAGATGCAAGACTGATGTTAATGAGAACCATACTAAGCTTTTAAGGTGTTAGAAGTTCAAAAAGTTTACTACTGTTTCAGCATTCAAGCACTTTTGAGTGCTCCAAATCCAGATGATCCACTCTCTGAAAACATTGCTAAGCACTGGAAGTCAAATGAGGTTGAAGCTGTTGAAACGGGTAAGTTGTGTCCTGGTCTTCCAATCTAGAGCTGTAAATGTCAAGTAGAAAATGTTAATCTTATGCAAATCTGTATACGCATTCTTGTTCAATCCTTGATTTGACTTTCGTTTTTCTTCAATGATCCAGCTAAGGAGTGGACACGCCTATATGCTAGTGGTGCATGAAGATATAGCAACGAAATGTTCAAAATAACAAAAATCATGGAATGTAATCAATATTGACTGGCTTATCAATATGAACCTGGATAGCACCCTCCAAATTTGTATAATTGAATGTGACAACCCTTTAGTTTTTTAATGTTCAGGAATGAACTTTGTTACAACAAAACTGGAAATGGTAAGGATTTTGTCACTGCAAAGAGTAGTAAGTGATTCAGATCTGTGGGTTTGGAATTGAAAAGTACTGTTGCTGCACAGCTTCTATCAACCTCCATAGATTTTGTTTCAGAAAATTGAATTTTCCAAGGGAAATCCTTTTGTTTGACCCTTTTTGTTCTCTCTTTTCTTTCTTTTCCTCCCTATCCTGCATCGTTTGTTCCGGTTCTGTATGCTGCTTTTTTACTCTTTTCAGATAAATTATCCTTCATTCAACCTTTTTGTCCTACCTTTCCCTATCTAAAGACCCCAAAGACGATAATCAAACTGTAAATATGCACTCATGGGCTTTTTTTGTCTGGTTGTATTGTCAAAGAACAAGTATGTTTACAAGGTCTACCATGACTAAAGTGGATGCATTATCTATTGGTAGTTCCCCAAAATGCATCTTTGCCATATTATTCATATTAAGGTCCTTTTCAAGTGATTAGGTCCATTGCAATTGTTATATTTCTAAAAAGTACTTTGAATTAATTTGCTAAATTCCGAGACCAATAAAATGGAGTATATTTTGATTAATAGGATAGATTATATAGCTTTAACGTGTTTTGACGGATTAGACTATTGTCTAATTTCATTTATAGTCAAACTGAAGATTATTAATTGAGCATTTAACCATCTGATAAAAGCATTTTTATTTAATCTTTGAAACTTTCTAGTTGCGTGTGTTTTGAAATGTTTCCAATTACTTGAGCTGACAAAATCTCAAACATGTCGCAATTAAAAATCACATATTACATGTTTTAATGGCGATTTAAGTTTACTAATTTGTGGGAATAATACGTAGATATTAGAAACAACAACCGTTGCTTCTAATACTTGCCTTCGTGACAGCAACAACAAAAGTTGCTAATAATGCTAAGCAACAACAAAAGGCAATAAATATGTGTTTTCAAGACGATAAAAGTTGCTATTATCACAAATTTTTAGTAATGATTTATGTCTTTAAGCGGGACTGAAGTTGCCACTGATAAATACTTTAGGGAGACAAATATAACTATTTCTGGCGACTAAACTTGCCACAAAATTTTCATGGCGACAAGTAAATCCTTTAGCGGCGACAGCAGCTTCCTTTTATGGCAACAATGATGACCGTTAGCGGCGACAAGGGTTGCCAATAAAAACCTATGGTGGCAACACTTCTTGTGGCGACATTTATAATTTCAGCGGCAATAGCCACTAATAAAATACTTCTCGAAGCGACATTTACAGCCTTTAGCAGCGTTTGGAGTTGGCAATAACTACTTTTGGTGGCGACAGATATAACTTATAGCGGCAACTACAACTGCCACTAATACAAACTTTTAATGGCAACGGTTAAAACCTTTAGCGGCATTTGTTGTTGCCACAATAACAATTTTTAGTGGCGATAGACATAACTTATAGCGGCAGCTATAGTTGCCCTAGTAACAACTTTTAGTAGCGGAAGTTGTAACCTTTAGCAGCGAATGCAGTTGTCATTAAAAATAACTTTCCATTGTAGTTGCCACCAATAACAAACTTTAAGTGGCGACAGTTATAACCTTTAGCGGCGATTATAGTTGCGACTAAAAAACTACTTTTCGTGGCGGCAGATATAACTTATAGCGGCGACCAGGTTGCCACTAATTACTATTTTTAGTGGCGACTGATATAACGTATAGCGTCGACCACAGTTGCCAATAATACTAACTTTTAGTGGCGACATTGGCGGCGATTGTAGTTGCTACTAATAACAGCTTTTAGTGGCGACAGTATAACTTATAGCGTCGACCATAGTTGACACTAATACACAGCAGCAATGGATGAAATTGTCACTAATAATTCCTTTTAGTTGCAATAAATATAACTTATAGCGGCAACTAAAATTGCAACTAATACATCCTTTAGTTCGCGACAGCTAAAAAATCTTTGGAGCGACTTGATTATTTTTGGTGGCGACAAGAAATACTTTTAGTGGCGACATATAATAAATACAAGAAATACTTTTAGTGACGACATATAATAAATAGTGGCGACTGTATTTAGGACTAACAATTACTTTTATTGGCAACAAATATAACTTATAGCGGTAACTAAAGTTGCCACTAATACGAACTTTATTGGCGAGTTATAATGCTGCCATAAAAGACGTCAACATACATTCTTTTAGTGGTGACTTATATATCTTTTAGCAGACTAAAGTTGCTAGTAATGCTGACTTTGTAGTGGTAGGAGTATATAAATAGTTGCCACTTCAGTTTTTGGTTGCGACTAGTTAATACCAACTTTTAGTGGCTTTATAATTGATCTAATGGTTTTCGTTGGTGGCGGGGTCTATTTGATGAGCATTTGTAAAGTTATATTATTGTTTTATCGCATAAAATTTATTAGAGAAATCATAGATTTATTTTATAAGTATTTTCTATTGATTAAATCGAAAACTGAAACCGTTAAGAATGAAAATTGTAAGCCGAAAATCAATAAAAATATTTTATTGATTTAGTTATTGACTTAGCGTATTGGTTGTCTTGTAGCTTATATCGTCTTTTTTCTTGTCTTAATGCTTCTTGTTCCACTTTTCCCCAATACATCCTTCAACAAATGTGGTACTTTTTTACCCGTAAAAAAAAATAAAAACTTATCCAAAATTGATTTATCCATCAACTTATTTTAGCTAATTTAATACTTATAGTTGAATGTAAAATTGTGGTGTAGATGTTAATTTACGCAGAAAAGTGTATTAATAACTACCTTTTTGTCTTAATTTATAGTAATTTATTTTCTTTTAATTTGTCTTTAAAAAATATTATTTTCTATAATTATGATCAATTTAATGTTAGAATTTTTTTTTTTAATTTTAATAAAATATTTCATAATCACACGAATATTTAAAATTCGATAAAGACACCTAGGGAGGCAGACATGCCATTCTCTTAATTACAAAAAGAAAACAAATAAAATATCATAGGATACAAGGTGGAGGTATTAGGTATACGACTAGTGATATTTATAAAATGAAAAAAAGAAGAAGAAATATTAAAGCAAAAACAAATAAATAAATAGACTATAGTACATAAAATGATATTTTATAAGTTTAAAGAATATCACGTTTCCCCAGCCGAAAGGTATTTGTCATTTTCAGCCGCCCAAATATTTTTTAATAATATTTAAATACTTATTCAACCACCTTTTTGCATTTTAGTTCTTAAGTATATAGGCACAAAATACTTTGTATTGGATCCTCTTCAGCTAATTATTGAGATCAAATTACCCCTACTCATATGTTTATATTGATTTCGAATTCGATTAATTTAGATTTTTACGAAATAATTTTATTTTAAAAGATTTTTAAAAAAAAATTATTTTTAAGATAAGATAATTTCTTTTTTTAAGACACCTTTTTTCAATCGTTATAATCAAAACTTGTATGTAATATTTGTACAAAACATCAAAAGGTTCGAAACTCTTTTCTTATCTAAAATTTAAGAATTACTCTATTCTCGAACCCTTTATTAAGCTCTATTTTATTCGCATTTCCTCGTGTTTTTAAATGGAGAAAATCTCTCTATATGTTGTCAACAGTCTTTCTTTGAAATTATTTGAATGGATCGATTCTTTCATCCGTTTGGTTTTTCAACTTATCGTACGTTTTCCTTGCCAAGAGCTCCCTGATAATAACAGAGGAAGCAGCATGTATGTTGTGGCGAAGCAATTTTTTCTTTCACAATAGACCTAGATAATTATCCCTACCTTCTATACCTAACGAATTTACGTCCATCTCTAATTAGGGAATGACAAAATACTTATATAGGTTAACTCAATTGGTAAAAATTGAGGATTTTTATCGTAACCTTAAGTCACAAATTCGAACCTTACACTAATCAAACTAAACTTTAATATTTAAGTAGACAAGAATTAAAAAAACGAGCTAATCAAGCTTTAATTTCACTACGTAATTAACTCTAAATATATTTTTCGTTATTTTAAAAAACTTCAAAAATATTTAGCATCACACTAAAATCTTTGACGATATATATACATAATAACTATCCATACAATGGACTCTAAATTATTGAAAAATTAAGATTCGAATATTTGTTCAAAATCTCTTACAAAGTCAACAAAATTCGTATATAGTCATAGAAAACAGAAATATAATAGACAAATAAATGAGCTTACGACTGACAAGTCGGCGCAAAATATTGCACAATTTTCATTATTATTGGGAATGGGGACTCTTTTGAAAGTTGGCAAATTAAATGCTTACATGTGATTTTTTTGTATTTTTTACAAGGAGAAAAGATCAAATCTTAAAAGTATAACCCTCTAGAAGAGGGCAACTTTACTCAACCCATATATAGACAACTAAAATGGGAATAAGTTTATCCCAAAACTTGTCCAATTTTTCAAAGTACATGGGATATGTTTCATATTTTAAGATTAAATTTGAGATTAAAAATTAACTAATTTGAGAATAATTAGTATATCAAATTTGGTGATGTATCTTATTGGCAAACCAAAAGACTTATTAGAGCTCATTGTCACAATACAGATTTTATGTTATATTATAAGTTATTTATTTTGGTAGAGAATATCTTTATGGGAAATTTGATTGTACGGAGATTTTTGTAATTTAGGTGTTCAAGCACATAAAAAACGAAATCGTTTGTTGCTTTTACCTTTCGTTAGAATTGAAACTTAAAACCAAAATTTTCGAACTATTTCATTGACTACTAAGGAGTGTGTGTATTTCATGTGAATAATAATATACAAGCATGCCTTGCATTGAAAATGCCAGCCATCCTAACTATGACCTAACATGGACAAGA